TCCTGTGGACCGGGTTGGACGAGGGAGGAGGGCTTATAGCCATTAACCTATTTGGACCTTGTGTCCCTATCAATTTGAGACCTACGACTGATAACCACTTTGATCAAGGTCAAATAACTTGAGTATCAGAGTACGGTTTCAGATAGGCCTGTCTGACTCCAAAGCCCCTACTATTAGCCACACAGAAAACAATTGAGAGAGGCGAAACATTTACAGCAACAAGTCAGGAAGAGCTGAGTTAGTAGAGTTCCTAAAGTGTCTGTTTCTAGTTCTTATTTCTGCTCTAGGGCTGGGCTTTCTTTCCAAAGGCACAAAACAAGTACCCTCTACATACATCAAGTCTTTCTGGCCACACCTAGGAGAAGTTTGATGGGCATAAAAATTAAAGTTGTAGCCTTCCCCTCTAAATCCTCATTTACCACAAACAAACAGATGTTGACTCTAGACAAATTTCCACTCTTGCTGTACTTAAAGCATTACAGTAACCCTTCCTGGAGCTAAAGCGTAAATGTCTATTGGTGTGCTAGAGTAATTGAGGTTCTCCTGAGAAATGGAGAGGAAACAGTGGCTATGTGAAGGATATCCACAAGGGGTAGGAAATCAGGAACTATTCATTTCTCTTTGGAAGCAGAGTCGGGTAGCTGATGGCTTTTTGAGGGGAGGGGGAGGATGGATTTTCTGGTCAGTATGTCACTGTGTAGCCTAAGCTGGTCTGGAACTTACAATATTCTTGTATTATGAGAGAGAGCTGAGTTGAGGAGTATGAGCACAGCACCATCACTGTGGGCCTTGAAGACTTAGGAACTATTCTCTGTGTTCCCTTCTACAAATCTGTTTTTTGTTTGTTTTTTTTTAAATTTATTTATTTATTATGTATACAGTGTTCTGTCTGCATAATAGAAGAGGGCAAATGGTTGTGAGCCTCCATGTGGTTGCTGAGAATTGAACTCAGGACCTCTGGAAGAACAGCCAGCAGTCAGTGCTCTTAACCACTGAGCCATCTCTCCAGCCCCTACAAAGCTGTTTAACCCAGACGTTTATCTCCTTGTCTTCCAGCAGTCCACAAGCTCTTTAAGAGTAGAAATAGTTTCCTTTCAATTTTCTGTCTCTAAATTCTGGCATAGTCTCAATTACATGGAAGTTTAAAAGATGTCTGAAAGCTGCCTGGCATGGTGGCATACGCCTTTAATCCCAGCACGGGAGGCAGAGGTAGGTGGATCTCTGTGAGTTCGAGGCCAGCCTGGTCTACAGAGTACGTTTCTGGACATAGAGAAACTCTGGACATAGAGAAACTCTGAGCCGGGCGGTGGTGGCGCACGCCTTTAATCCCAGCACTCGGGAGGCAGAGCCAGGCGGATCTCTGTGAGTTCGAGGCCAGCCTGGGCTACAGAGTGAGTTCCAGGAAAGGCGCAAAGCTACACAGAGAAACCCTGTCTCGAAAAAAAAAGGAAAAAAAAAAAAGAGAAACTCTGTCTCGAAGGGGGAAAAAATGTCTGAAAGCCAAGCCAAGCCAGCATGCCTGGGCAGAGGGGTTCAGAGTTTCAGACCAGGTTCAATATAACAAGAGTGAGGAGGCTGGTGAGTTGAAGGGTAGTTCAGTGTAGAGTGCAGAAGGGAGACAAGGCTAGACACGTCCTGTGGGGGCTCAATAGAGAGAGTCCTTGAATCCCCATTTGCAATGATGAGCCTTAGGAAGTTGCTCAGCCAGCTAGAGGGTTAATCAGATTTATTTTTCTAGATTTCAAGAGAAAGATATGTGGGCATCAAGGAGGAAGAGCAGTTAGACTGAATGATTAACCCAGATGAGAAATAGTGAGTGTGGTGTTAGTGGACAAGAATGTGAGGTCACATGTGAGATTTTCATTTATTTATTAATTAATTGTTGGAGATCTGCTGGGGAGCCAACCTCGGGCTTTGTACATGCTAGGCAAGCACTGTACCATGGAGCTACAACTATAACCCACCCAGATTTATTTATTTTATTATTAACCGGGGTCTCACAATGTAGCTTGCTTGGCTTCACACTCAGAAATCCACCTGCCTCTTCTTTCCAAGTGCTGAGATTAAAGATGTGCCCTATCACTGGGTGGTGGTGGTGCACGCCTTTGATCTCAGCACTAAGGAGGCAGAGGCAGGGGGATCTCTGAGTTCAAGGCCAGCCTGGTCTATACAGCAAGTTCTAGGACAGCCAGGGCTACACAGAGAAACCCTGTCCCCAAAAAACCGGGAGGTGGGGGGGTGTACACTACTATACCTAGCTCAGCTTTATTATTTTATTTAAAAATTATTTTTAGTGTCTTGCTTGCATGCATATCTGTGTGCTGTGGGGGTGCCTAGTGCCCATGGAAGTCAGGAACCGAGAACTAGAATTACAGATGGTTGTGAACCACTATGCGGTTGCTGGGAACTGAACCCTCTTTTGCAAGAGCACCAGGTGCTCTTAACCATCTCTCCAGGCCCTCAGCTTTCATTACTAAGACTTTAAATACTACTAACCTGTTTTGTTTTGTTTGAGACAAAGTCTCAGGGAACCCAAGCTAGCCTCAAACTCATGTAACCAAAAATGACCTTGAACTCAAGGTCTTCCTGCCTCTCCCTCCAGAGAGCTGGGATTATATGCTTATGCTTGGTAGCTTTTAAATAAATGAAAGTGTTGTAGGTTGTTTTTCCTTTTGTTTTTTGCCTCAATAATTTTTTTTAAATGTGAAGGTGTCCTAAAACTAGAAAATATGAAAAACTGTAAAAACTATGAAATGAGATTAACATCAGCCCTGTGTAGTTTAGCTAGTTTGTTATGAAGTCAATACAGTTGTACAGTTACTTTCGAAGTTTGAGGTGGTGGCCTAGGAAGGCGCTCAGCTGGTAACCAGCTGGTAACCAGCTGCCTCTGGGCTCCACTCAAGTGCACATGTCACCACCACACACACCAGTAAGAAAAGTCTGAGATACTAAGCCGGGCTTGTTTTGATTAGCCTGCCCTACACAGTAAAAAAAGAAGACAAAAAGCTTTCGATGCTGTATAAGATTGGTAGAGTTTACTGCCAGTCATTAATTTGGGGTGATTTTTTTTTTTAAGATGGAGCAGATTAAGCGTACAAACCGCCTTTATACTAACGACTCCATCTTCCTGAAGAAAACTCTCTACATCCCCATCCTGACAGAGCCCAGAGACCTATTTAATGGTTTGGATTCTGAGGAGGAAAATGACGGAGAGGAAGAGGGACAACCAAGTAAGGATGATGTTGGCTCACATTCAGTGAGGAGGAGGAGTCAAGAGTCAGGTCCAGGCCGGGCCAATGGCGAAACCCTCCCGCCTCACCAGGAAACCTCCACACCCGTCCATGACCTTTCTGCCTCTGATTTCCTTAAGAAGCTCGACTCACAGATCAGCCTGTCAAAGAAGGCTGCTGCCCAGAAGCTGAGGAAGGGGGAAAGTGGGTGAGTCTGCAGCTCTTCTAAGTCCTTGCGTAGACCCTTTTCTTTTAGCAATCACAAACTGATAAGTAACCAAAGTGCCCGAAAAGCCAGAGGATAGCTTTTCCCCCAAATGGTTCCCAAGACCGTGAGCAGAGCCGGTGGCAGCTGGAATGGGGTGAGGCGGTGGGAAAATAGGTTCTGTGGGTTCTCTGTTCTCACAGGTCTCTCTAATGTGGGAACTATGCAGCAGTGTTAAGACAAGTAGTTTTCCAGAAGATATTGAGACTCCATCCACCTCAGGAAACAAAGGAAGGCAGCTGCCCTACACCTTTTCATTTGGTCCTTTCTCAGGCTCTTGCCTCAATCTGTTGCTCTTTCTTCCTTCCCTCACCTGCAGGGTACTTGAGGAGGGTGTGGGTCTCCACCTCAGCTCCCCTAGAATGCAGCAGCGAGCAGTCCTTGGTCCTGTGCCACTGACCCGGACCTCTCGGACCCAGACATTGCGGGATCAGGAAGATGAAATCTTCAAACTCTGATGTCTCCAGAACTGATGAGAGAACGTGATGTTGAAGAAAGAGCTGAGTGGGAGAGGAGTCTGAGGTGAGGCTCAAAAGCAGAGCTTCCCAGCCTGCCTCACTCCTCTCCAGCCATCTTGCCCAGCCTCTCTGTCAAGATTTCCTCAGCTGGGGACACTTTTGGCAAGAGTAGGGGATGGGAACATAACTTTTCCCAGTTCTTGGGTTGAATCTAGAGTTCTCCTTTAGATTCAAAGCTGTTTTATATCCTGGCTGTCCCTTTCACCATTTCCTGGGTTAGGGCAGGGAAGCAGAGAACTCCCACCCCCATCTCTAATGATGTTCCCTAATTTATTTGGTGCTATATTGAAGTAATATTTATTTGCTATATCTAACTCCTTTCTCCTCTTAACTGAAAAAATGTGATTTCTGTATCACTGAAGAAAGGGAAGCCCAGAGCAGTGAGGGGGGCTGGCTGGCTGCTTACCTTTCCCATCTCCCTAGTCGAGCATGTTACTGAGGCCAAGAGAGCCAGTGAAAGTCACCACAGAATCGTGGGCAGCGCTGAGTCCTTTCCTCACTCAAGGTGAAGGAAAGGAGCTGGTCATACCTGCGAGATTCCTCGTAACTCTGTCCAACTCTCGGCTCTGAGAACAGCGGTGGGGTAGGGTACTGACTGAGCTCTCCAGTCCACCACTTCCCTCTTCTTCCTGCTCCTCTGCTTGGCCCATGGTAGGACTAGGGGGTGGAAGAGGATGCCTTGGGGTTCAGAGGAGGCAGGTACGGAACACAGCCCCAGCCTGCCTATGCCTTGTCCTCACTTCGTGTTTATCTGTGACCTGTAGCCCTGATCTGCAGTACAGTTTGTCTTTTGTTCCTTAAGCTGAAGAAGTAGGCATGGCAGCTCAGTGCTCCTGGAGTCTGCCTGGCTCCCATTCAGGAATAGGGAACGGCGAGATGAGTGTTTCTCGACCCCTCCTCTATGTCAAACCTGAGTACGGAGCTGGAGAGATTAAACAGTAAGCCCTGTACATGTTTTAGTGGTTTTATTTCCCCTGTGTCTCCCCTCCCCCGGCCCCTTCTAGAAACTCTGGAGCACAGCCTCCGGTATGTGTCCAGCTCTAGGAGACCTAGGAGGCTTCCGATGGCCACCTTCCTGCTGCTGGCCTCCAGTGCCCCCTTCCTTGGGTTTGTGGAGGAGGAGGATCCCTTTTCGGGCAGTTCTCCTGGGAGCAGCAGACCCGAGTTTCACTTCATCTTCCTCAATCAGCTGTTTCCTTTGCTGGCACTGGATGGGAGAGCCGCCTCACTCAGCTCAGCATGCTTTTTCTCCGCCAGCTGTTTGGGGGTGGGGGTGACCTCGTGTCAACGTCACTCTTGGGAGAGAATGAAGCCAGGGGATTGAGAAGCATTTGTGCAGGGTTAGAAAGCCCAGTCAGTCATTTTGCCAAAGTCCAGTGTGCTGGGCTCGAGGGCGTCAGAGCTTCCCTTCATCCAGCAGCTTCCGGAGCCCATCACAAATCTTGCCAAGGTGCTGAGTGAAGTCAGGCCCATAGAGGGCAGCGAGCAGGTCAGGGTCAGAGTAGTGATCAAACACGTGTCTGATGCGGTCATGTGACTTGGGGGTGAGGTGGTGCTCCACCAGCTCCAAGAGAATGTCCCGGCACTCGGTGAGCAGGCCTGCTAGCACAGCAGCCTCGAAGGTGAAGTCCACCTCACCGAAGCTGAGTGCCGTCATGGCGCCCTGCCGCAGCTTCTGGCGAAAGCGTGTAGCCAGAGCCAGCTCCCCGGGACTAAAGCAGCCGCTGCGGTGCAGCACGGCCACCTTGACGGCCACCTTGATCAAGTCTTTGATCACCCGTTGTGCCTTGGGCCGGCTGTGCGTGTACTCTTTGGACACACGGTAAAGCTCATCCAGCACCTCACTGCTGGTCTCGTCGATAAAGAGATGAGCCACGGACCGACCAGCCATTTTACTCAGTAGCTTCTTCTCGGCTTGTAGTGCCAGACTCTTTGAGCTGAAGGACTCCATGGTGCTTGGGGAGGTGGGTGTGTGTTCAGTGACTAGAAGAGGCCGAAGGCTTCCTCGGAGAAAGAGAGAAATGGCTTTTCCCATTTTCATTGCCTGGCTGCTTTGTCCTCCCTCTGCCCTGGGCCCCTCCATCCTGTAAGCCCTGCTTCTGCTTTTTCCTTTACTGCTGTAAACTAAGACGTGTGCGTCTCCAAAACGGCACAGAGGAGCAGGGAGAGCCGTGACTGGAGGAGTGTGGGCATAACTGGAGTCTAAGAGCAGGAACTGCTGCCACCGATGGAGGGCCTAGTGCCCATTTGGCAGGGAATTCGAACAGATACCAGTTTTGGACACTAACTGTATATCCTGCATCCATGGAAACATAGGCATTACCCTCGTGTTTCCAGGCTTGAGATCAAAAACCCATGTCAGCTGGGGTACCAGAGAGCCTGAAAAGAAGTGGGACATATCTGGGTCTCCAGATTCCCAATAAGAACACTTGGTGCCGGGCTGTGGTGGCTTTAGTCCCAGCACCTGGGAGGCAGAGGCAGGTGGATCTCTGTGAGTTCAAGGCCAGCGAGAGCTGTTAAACAATGACACCCTGACTCAAAAAACCAAAGAAAAAGCACTTGGCATTTCCAGAGACCTATTGTGTGCAAGTGCTTGATATGAACTGCCTCAGTTTTCCAACTCCGTAAGGGCAATAGTCCTATTTTACAATGAGAAATCTCCAGGCTAAGAGAACTTTTTTTCTTTTTGAGATGGGGTTTCTCCGTGTAGTCCTGGATGTCCTGGAACTCACTCTGTACGGCAGGCCTGCCTCTGCCTCCCAAGTGCTGGGATTACAGGCGTGCACCACCACCGCCCAGCAAGGCTAAGAGAACTTAAACTACTTGTCCTAGTAAATGATGAAAACAGGTTTCCAGGAGCTGGAGAGGTGGCTTGACTCATACACTCACAGACGACTCACCATCGCCTATACCTCTAGCCCCCAGGGGACCCAACACCTCCGGCCTCCACAGCCACACACACACATGTACATAATTTAAAATAACCAAAAGAAATTATAGAACAATAAATATTAGGCTGCCAGTTAAATAATCCCTCCCAAAGCCCCTTCTAACAAGGAGTGGTGCCAATGAGGTCGAGGCCCGCTGGGGAAGGCTGGGCAGCCGCAGTGGGGTCTGGGCCGAGGCCCTTCTGGTGGTGTAGCCTGGGCCAAGTCCAGGGCTCTCTCGCCGTGGTCCTCCACCGTGCTTCTGCTTGTTTGCGTCTTACTTCCCTCTCCCCTGCTCTGCAGGATGTGGCTGTGACCGCAATGGGGAGCAGCCTCACCCTCTCCCCCAAATGAAAATGGGAGTCTGAAGAGGCACAGGGGGGAGAAGCAGGGGGCTTTCTCCCCCAGCTGAATCACTCTACTAGGAACCTGCAACCCTGATTTGTTACTGTCCTGCCCTGGGCTTGGTCGGACTGTCCTCCCCAGTGGGTCTGATTGCTCCATATGAGCCGTCCTGCCTTCCTGGCTCTCCATTGCCCCTGTTGCCATCTCCAGTTAGGTCCCCGGCCCCCTCAAGGTCTCTCTGTCACTTGCCTTCTGTTTCTAGCCTCTATGTCATCCCCATGAACCTCTGGCCTGGCTAAGCTTTCACTTTACATCACTGTACTTCCATGTCCGAAGATACCTCTGACACACCCCATTGCCTACCTCCATCCCTCAGCTCTACACTCAGCCCTCATCCCAAGCCAGGTCTCTCTTTCAGATATGCCTTGCCCCAGCCACTAAAAGGGTTGGTTCTTGTGAGGCCCTAAGATTTCTACAAGTGAAAGCTTCACAGTGCAGAAAGGTAAGGGTAAATGGGTGGGAATACCTGTCACTGTCACCCAAAAACCTGTCCTTCTGTCACAGACAGTCTCTCACCTGCTGGGTGCTGGGCGCTGGGTGCTGGGCGCTGGGGCTGGGCACCGGGTGTCAGTCTTGCCTTGGATGTTCCTGAGAGCTAACAGAATGGAGAAGCTCCTAAGTAAGAGGCCCTTTGGTCTAGCCCCACCCCAAGCCCCGCCCACCTACTCTCAACCTCCGGTTCATCACCACTGTCACCAAGGAGGCCTGTGTCCCAAGAGCAACCTAGAAATAAGACAAAGGTCAAAAGGAATGGAATTCCGTAGGAAGCACCAGCTCTGAGGCGGGAAGGACCGACTGCACACCCTCCACCCGAATGGCCGCTTCTTTCCTGCTGTCTAATATTCTTGTGGTACTGAGAACAATGCAGAGTCCAGGTTTTTAAGGTGGGAGTCGGTGAAGGGAGTGCTGAGGACCATCGAGGGCTGCAGTGGAACAGCATTCTCTCGAGCATCTTCAGGCCTGGGCAGGTAAGACTGGCATGGACTGCCCTGGCCTTCAGTCCCGGCAGGAGGCAGGTGCCAATGTTAAGGCGGCTGAGCCATATGTGACCAGCAGGTGTCAGCATCGAACTGAAACACTAGAGGACCAAGTCCAGAGCGTAGGAGCCCTTAGAGGGCCTGAAGAAAGAGAGCCGTCTCCAGCGAGGCAGAAGTATTTGCTATTAAGATTCTAGTAGTGGGTACAGGCCTTTAATCCCAGCACTCAGGAAGCAAAGGCAGGTGGATCTCTGTGAGTTCGAGGCCAGCCTGGTCTACAGAGGCAGTTCTAGGACAGCCAAGGTAACTCAAAGAAACTCTGTTTTATTAAAAAAAAAAAAAAAAGATTCTAGCAGTGGAGCAGTGGATGCACACACCTTTAATCCCAGCAGCACTCAGGAGGCAAAGGCAGGTGGATCTCTGAGTTCCAGGTTAGCCTGGTCTACAGAAACCCTGTCTGTAGAAACATCTGCCTGCTGAGTGCTGGGATTAAGGGCATGCACCATCACTGCCCAACCAGCCTGTTTTCTTATAGCACCCAGGGCCACCAGCCCAGGTGCTCACAGTGAGCTGGGCCCTCCCATATCAACCATCAACCAAAAATTGCACCACATCTGGGTGTGGTGGCGCACACCATAGGGCCCAGCACTAGGGAGTCAAAGGAAGGCAGTTCTCTGTGAGTTCAAGGCCAGCCTGGTCTACATAGTAAGTTCTAGGCCAGCCAGAGCTGCATAATGATAGTGAGAACCTATCTCAATGTTTTTTGTTTGTTTGTTTGTTTGTTTTTAAAGACAGAGTTTCTCTGTGTAGCCCTAGCTGCCCTGGAACTCACTCTGTAGACCAGCCTGGGCTCGAACTCAGAGATCTGCCTGCCTCTGCTCCTGAGTACTGGGACTAAAGGTGTGTACCACCCCCCACCCCCTGGCCAAAACTTTTTATTTTTTTTTTTAAAAAATTATTTATGGGCTGGAGAGATGGCTCAGAGGTTAAGAGCACCGACTGCTCTTCCAGAGGTCCTGAGTTCAATTCCCAGCAACCACATGGTGGCTCACAACCATCTGTAATGAGATCTGGCGCCCTCTTCTGTATACATAATAAATAAATAAACATCTTTAAAAAAAATATTTATTTAATTTTATTTTATGTGCATTGGTATGAATGTGTGGGATCTCCTGGAACTGAAGTTACAGACAGTTGTGAGTTGCCATGTGGTTGCTGGGAATTGAACCGGGGTCCTCTGGAAGAGCAGCCAGTGCTCTTAACCGCTGAGCCATCTCTCCAGCCCAACTTTTTATTCTTAATTAACTAAAAGTTACAGAACTTGAGACTTAGCCTTTAAGATATTTACCATTCGTGTGAACACCTGAGTTTGATCCATAGCACTTAGCTAAAAAATAGCAGGCAAGTCAGAGCACACACCAGTAAGACCAGGGCAGGACATAGAGATGGGGAGTGGGGGCGGTGAGTGGTGTCTCCTGCTTGCTGGGCGGCCAGTCCACAAAGTGGACAAGCTTCAGATTCAGTGAGAAAGCTGTCTCCAAAACATAAGGTGGAGGTGATAGAGGAAGACATCCAACACTAACCTCTGGTACACACACACACACACACACACACACACACACACACACACACACACACACACGGGAATTTGGAGGAAAGAGGCTGAGGAGATGACGGCACAGTGATTGAAGAACCTGCTGCTCTTCTAGAGGACTCAAGTTTGGTTACAACTGCCTGTAACTCCAGAGGATCCGACACCCTCCTCCTGCCTCCAGGGGCACCCACAAGCATGTGCACCGATAAACAGACACATAAATAATAAATCTTAGACTGGGTGTGGTCACTCATGCTTTTAATCCTAGCACTAGGGAAGCAGAGGCAGGCAGATCTCTGGATTTCAGGCCAGCCTGGGCTACACTGTGAGACCCCATCTCAAAGCAAAACGGGGAACTGGAAGGATGCCTCAACACTCAAGAGCACTTGTGGCTCTTGCAGAGGAGCCAGGCTTGAATCTAGGCCCTTATGTAGTGGCTCACAACCACCTGTAACTCCAGTTCCAGAGGGGCCTACGCCCTCTTCTGACCTCTTCAGACACTGCACACACAGACATGCATGCAGACAAAACAACCATACACATGAAATTAAAAAATAAATTATATAATATTATATATACTATAACAATATCTTACACATTTAAATATATATTATATATTCACACACACAAATGAATTCATGAGCATGAAATGAGAGGCGAGTAAGTAGCCAGCATTTGTAGACTGTACTTTGCTAGCTGTTAGTAAAGACCTTAGTTAAGCCTCAGAATTCCTTTTTTTTTTTTTTTTTTTTAGATTTATTTATTATTCATACAGTGTTCTGCCTGCATACCAGAAGAGGGTACAGATCTCATTATAGAGGATTGTGAGCCACCATGTGGTTGCTGGGAATTGAACTCAGGACCTCTGGAAGAGCAGTGGGTACTCTTAACCTCTGAGCCATCTCTCCAGCCCCAGAATTCCTTTTTAAGGGGTAAGACAAACCCTTGTTTGTTGTTTAGACCAGTTTGTTGCTTAGCATAAATGTAGATTAGGATGGCCTTGAACTCCTAATTGTATTGACTCTGCCTTCTAATTTATCACTATACTCCTGTGTGTTTTTGTTTTTGTTCTTTTTCTTGATATGTAACCATGACTGGCCTGGAATGCACTATGTAGCCCAGGCTGGTCTTGAACCTACAATGGATCCTCCCATCTCTGCCTGTGTAGTACCTGGATTATAGGCATTGGCCACCATACCTGGCTTTGTGTATGTATGTGTGGCTGAGTGTGTGTGTGTGCACACGAGTGCGTGTGTGCATGCATGTGTGTGTGCATATGCACATATGTACACATGGAGGCCAGAGGACAATGCCAGCTGTCTTCTTCAGTTACTTTTTGCCTTTTTTATTTTCAGCAGATTGAATGTGGATCTACCAAGAGAAAATGAAGGGAGCTACTGAGAGGAGTCCCCCCCACCCCATAGTAGTTTGTTTGTTTGTTGTCTAAATTTTAATTATAATTTGGGTGTATGTGCCTGGGTGTGTGCATTTGGCACTCACAAGAGGAGTTGGATTCCCTGTAACAGCCCATGGAAGTCAAAACAAACGTAAGATCCCTGGAGTAGGAGTTATGAGTCACCGTCTCACAGGTGCTGGGAACCAAACCAGGGCCTCTGGAAGAGCAGTTAGTGTTCTTAGGAGCTGAGCATCTCTCCAGGTCCAGTTTATTTTATTTTATTTTATTTATTTATTTATTTATTTATTTATTTATTTATTTATTTATTTATTTTGGTTTTTTGAGACAGGGTTTCTTTGTGTAGCCCTGGCTGGCCTTGAACTCACAGAGATCCACCTGCCTCTGCCTCCCTACTGCTGGGATTAAAGTCATGTGCTACCATCACTGCCTGGCTTGGAGGAAGGTTTTTTGGTTTTTGTTTTTGCTTTTTAAATATGCATTGGTGTTTTGCCTGCATGTATGTGTGTGTGAGGGTGTCAGATCTTGGATTTGCAGACAGTTGTAACTGCCATGTGGGTGCTGGGATTTGAACCTGGGTGCTCTGGAAGAGTAGTCAGTATTCTTTTTGTTTTGTTTTGTTTTGTTTTTTGAGACAGGGTTTCTCTGTGTAGTTTTGGTGCCTGTCCTGGATCTCAATCTGTAGACCAGGCTGGTCTTAAACTCACAGGGATCTGCCTGGCTCTGCCTCCCGAGTGCTGGGATTAAAGGCGTGCTCCACAGCTGCTCGGTCAGCCTGTAGTCAGTATTCTTAACTGATGAGCCATCTCTCCAGCCCAGAGGAAGTGTTCTTAATGTTTGAGCCATCTCCAGACCCTCCCTCCACCTTAGTTTTGGAAAGGAGGTGTCTCTCTGAACAGGAGTTTACTGAGTATCCAGACTGGCTGGTGAACAAATTCCAGAACCTTCCTGTCTCTGCCTCTCCAGCTCTGACATTAAGGTTGCAGACCACCATCCCTGGCTTTCGTGTGGGGATCCACACTCAGGTCTTTGTGATTTAGTGGCAAGCACTTCACTGACTGACCATCTCCTTCATGCTTTTGAGGCAGCTCCCAAAAGCTGTAACCTAGGCAGGCTTCAAATCCACTCTCCTGCCCAATGCTTCAAACTTGTCCCAATTGTTGGAATTACATGTATATATTGTTATTTTCATGAGGAATGTACAATCTAGGTAGAAAATAAGAATAAGGTGAATACATTGGACCCGGGGGCACAAGCCTGTAATCCCAACTCTCAGAAATGGAAGGCCAGAGGATGGCAAGTTCAAGGCCTGCCTGAAGTGCATCATGAATTCAATGCTGTGGAGGCAATTTAGTGATTCTTTCAAGTAAAAAACAAAGCCTGGCCGGGCGGTGGTGGCGCACGCCTTTAATCCCAGCACTTGGGAGGCAGAGCCAGGCGGATCTCTGTGAGTAGTTGCCTGGTGATTTCCAAGCCTTAGGAATACTCACTCCCAGTATTGATGGAGGAAAAAGAAAAGGAGAATGAAAATACAGTAAAAAGTTATTTTTTTATATTTTATTTTTAAGTATGTATCTGTGTGTATCTGTGTATAGCTCTGTACACATAAGTGTAGTGCCCTGTGGAGGTCAGAAGAAGACATCATATCCCCTGGAGATGGCGTTACAGGTAGCTGTGAGATGTCTGACTTGAGTGCTGGGAACCAAACTCAGGTCCTCTGCAAAAGCAACAAGTGTTCCTAACCACTGAGCCATCTTTCCTGCCCTCCAGGATAAAGTTCTTAACTCATGATTCAGTTGCCAACTCTTTTCACCTCTGTGGCCTCAACTTGTCTGTTCTTTTTAAAATTAATAATAATAATAATAATAATAATAATTGCAATTATTATTATTATTTGATTTTCTGAGACAGGGTTTCTCTATGAAGCTTTGGCTGTCCTGGAACTTACTCTGTATTCCAGACTAGCCTTGAACTTACAGAGATCCTCCTGTCTGCCTCCCCAGTGCTGGGATTAAAGGAGTGCACGGCCATCGCCTGGCTTTTTTAAATTATTTATTATTGTGTGCGTGATGTATGATTCTGGCTGTACATGTACCACAGCTGGCATGTGGAAGTCAGAGGACAGCTGTGTGGAGTCACTTCTCTCCTTCCACCTCTGGGAGGATTCTGAGAATCTAATGCCAGTCATCAGGCTTGACTGCAAGCACTTACTCACCGAGCCATCTGGACGGC